TTTAACTATCTCGCTCGAAGTAAACGCGCCTTTTCAAAAACGATCCTTTCGAGTTCGCACTTATCGTTTGAAAGCTCCTTTTCGAATATTACTTCGTTTCGTAGATTCGTACGGATTAATCGCTTCGTAGAGAAGAAGGGGGTGAGAAGCATTTTAACCTTCTGTGACCGTCAAGCGAAATCAGATATGTATATATATATATATATATATATGTATATACAAGGAAAAGTTGAAATTGTCCTAGATATAATGGTACATACATCGTTCGAAAATAGCGATCTCTATTTAACCGTGTGAACTTTCATTATAATTTCTATGACGTGGGTGGAAAATTTGGAACGGGGCAAATATAAATAGCCGCCGGACGATATAAAAACACGTTGATTTTTGCTTCCGTGTGCCGAAGACTGGGCCACGTCCTTCGCCCAAAGTCGTTCAAAGAGCTTGTTTTCGAATTTAATCCTCTTGCTAAAAGCGAGCGAGGCCCGAGAAGCGTGGCCACCATCCTTTTCAGAATCACGCGGGTATCTAACGCGTATATACCGACCGAGCCGCGTGCACGTATATATCCCCACTCCTCCCCACCGCTCCCCTTGCCCACCCTTTCCTTGCCGGGCCGACGTAGCGGCGCGAGTTCAAAGCCTCGAGAGCAGGAAAGAGTGCGGGAACTTCCGGTGGAACGATCCAACGAGTCGGCCACATTCCGCGGCGGCAAAGTTCGAGCCGGTCGGAGCCCGAGGCTCGCCTCTTAATGACGCCAGAATCAACGGCGGAAGTGTGCTTTAGAGTTCTCGAGCACGGCTCGAAGCGATCGAGCCGAACGGGATCGGTTGTTTGCCCGGTGAAGCCGTTTCGTAAACAGCCTGCCCCCGATACAAGTCTCGCCATGTTTCCAGAACGGTTCGCGCGCGCCCTCTTCTTCTTCGGGCGAAATGAATTTGAGGAAGGGGGGCGAAAATGCCGCCGTTCTAATTTAACGTAGAATAATTTAAAATAGAAGAAAAAAAGAGGAGGGGGGGGGGAGAAGGAAAAATCTCTTGGAAATAATATAATTGTAATTGATGTAAGGAGAGGAGAGGTTAAATTTAAAAAACGAAGCGTTACGTGCACGGACTCGGTTCTCGTGAAAGTAAGATATACGCTATTGATCGGTGTTAACAACCGGAAGTAACACGATACGCTATTGACACGTTATAAATAAGAAGGGGGCAAGGTAGAGGCGCGTGGTTCGCGAAGCTTTTGCACACCAGAGACGCGATTAATCGTCGGTTCGAGTACTTTTTTTTTCTTTTTTTTTTTTTNTTTTTTTTTTTTTTACATTACACCGTGAATTACTCGCAGGATCGCGTGAGCATCCCGAAATTATTTAATAAGCATGCAGCACAAGCGTTTGTTTATGCGCCTTCCCTCTTCTTTCTCTCTTTCGTATGACGGCTCTATCGATCCAGAAAAATCCTGTGAAAACGCGGAAACGTGTGAAACGACGAATGATCGCGCAAGAAGGCGTTCGATATTTTATGAATTATGGAATACGAGGAATTATATATATATATATATATATATATATATATACGTGTCAATGTTTCGATATACGTATGCATTATTTGCTGTTTTTTTAATAGCCATTGTTATATCATTGTAGCCGATGATCGTATGTAAATGATTAATCGACTTTTTGATTCATATATTTATTGAATTCTCTCGAATAAAATTTTAAATATGTTTCTCAGAAACGTTATGTCGATCATAATCATTTCCCTTTTTAATTAGTTACCCACCAATAATTGAGAAACATTTTAATAAATATAATGAATCGAGAAAACTTACAGTGCTGCGAAATTATGAAATTACTAAAGAAATCTACAATCTTGAAATGTAATTGTTAATTCTTTTTTTTTTTTTTTTTTTTTTTTTTTGCTTGACGATATTACGTATTCGCTATTAATTCGTGCTTCGAACATTAGAATTTTAGTATTAGAAATTAGATGTTGTGAAAAATTTTGTTTCTGATGTAAATTTAAATAGCGATAAAATTTTATATTCCTCGATCTAATCAAATCATTCTACGCATTTCCTATCATATCTAAAGAATGTTCCTCGATGATAGGCATGATTGTCTGACCTTTCCTTCGATTGTAATTTAATATCGCATAAAATGCAAACAAGGGAAATAAAAGAAATAATCCGATGCATCTCGTAAAAACTTTAAACCTAGATAAAGCGTAGTTTTTTTTCATCGAATCGAGCGAATCGTTTCCATATTCATCGCGAGAAGTTTAATGATTTTTACCGATAAAACATCGCATCGAGCGATGCCTTGACGTCAACATATATAACATCAATCGCTCAACGCACAGTTTTTCCCGAGGTCAGGTTTGGTATTTTACTGATTTCGAGCGTAAGCCAAGAATGAATTTCCAAAGAATCGGTCGTTAAAATGCAACAGGTTTTCGAGACCTACCGGATGGAGATTCTCAATCCGGCAGAGCATTCCTCCAGAGAGTAAAGCCTCTCCCTTTTTGCAGCCTCCGGATGACCCGTGCCTTTTACACTTTTACTTCGAGTTCGCCGCGTTTAATGAGAATAACAACGATGGCCGTCAAACCGTTACCCAGAATAGAAGTGTTCCAATTCACTTCTCTAACCTTTCCCATTGTCCTAGAAAATCCATACGTTTTATATTTCACGTCTAATCTTTCTTTCTCTTCCACGATTTTTCAAATTTCTTTCGACGATATATTTAGCACGAGTTTATTAAAGAGAATTCTTGGTATATACATACAAGGATTTTATGTAATTACAGATAATTACAGATCATAGATAATATTTATAAAAATTGTATATGATTGCATTTGATTGAATATCCTGTTAAAGAAAATGTTTGATTAGATGGCAAAACCCAAAAATAATGGATACGATGAATCGTACGTATGTATGAAATGAAATCTATTAGTTTGTACGAAATAATAGAGCACGTGTTTATCATTAAGAAGAAAAGGAAGGAGAACAAATTGTATTTGAAAACAATGTTTCTTTTTTTAAAGTTGAACAAACTTTAAAATCGCTATGAATATATTTCGTACCCGTTTTTATTTGCTATATTATTCCAATCGTACGTGATTATCGTTAACTGCTCGTAAACTTCTGGTGGTGTATAATGCAATGACCAGGCATATTCTGTTCGGTAATTTACATAAAAAGCATTACATGATTTTTCCGAGCAAAAAAAATTGATCAATATGAAAAAAATTGCGAGTTTTTAAATAATTAATATATTATAATTTTATCTGACCATCATTATTCATTCTATTTTTTATTTATCATTATTAACAATTACAATTAAACTTGTGGAAAAAAAAAATACTTAATTTATTATGCATAAAGTATTTTAATCGCTATGTTGTAAGCGTGTAGTATATAAATATTAATCTATGATTAAAGTAGAAAAAAATTAAAAAGATTCGTGTTAATCAATAAATCTTAATATACGTAGATAATCATTCGTAGAAAAATTTTTATAGACACGCTTCACGTAGAATTCGTGAATTCTTTTGAATAAGAAAAGAATCGTGAAACATTTGTCAGAAAGTTTTGTTACACTTTTGTTCCACGATTTCAAATCATAAAAACGGAACTCCAACTCGATAAAGACGTTTGAATTTTCTAATAAACAAAAATCATCTCTTAATTTCATGTTCGTATATATAAACGCATCGAAATCGCGTCGAAATTGCGTATCGAAATCAACGTAACGAATGTTCCCCAGTAAATCCTTTGAATAAATCTGGTCACGTGACTACTTATCAATCCGCAGCATCGATGGGAAAGAGAAAAATCGAATCCTCTACCAATCGATTCGCACAGCTGGTTTTCCAACACTCGCACGTACTACGCATGGAGAGACAGAATAAACGAGTTGTATACATGTGCGAGCATGTGTGAGTGTATAGGCTACGTACCACGCGGGACAAGCAATGGGAATGACGCTCTCCCAGGCGCTACTGATACTACTGAATGAACTTTGACATCAGTCCTACTTGAGTGACAAATACGAATATTATTGCGATCTGATATTATTTTTTTTTTGTTTTTTTATATCATTTTTATATACGGATTTACAATTGCACTTTGTGCTATGTGTAATTTATAAAAATATAATATATGCGGGTAAAAATTATTAACGATTCGTCTTATTAATTATTGGATAATTTATCGACTAAAACAAATGTAGTTCGATACCGTGAATCGATCGGAAATCATGCAACTATCGTTCAATCAATTCCATTACTAGACAGGATTGGCAGAGTACAGCCGTATATAAGTTTTGTGCGAACGCAACGAGCGTACGCGTAGCGTATGTTCGAACGCACGTGTGTAAGTCCGTCAGCTCCCCCCTTCCAACAAACGCCACTTCCCCTCCTTTCGCGGCTCTGACGAAACTCCCGACTCTATTGGTCCGACCCTCACCCTTCCCCGCACAACCACAGACGACTCATTCCATTCAGTCACCCGTACGAATTCAACGCTACCACGCTACAACCATGCCGCGTGCTCTCTTTCCTTTCTCACTCTCGTGCTTTATCCTCTTTCTTTTTCTATTAACCGTAGTTATATCTCTCCCTCTCGCTTGTTGTGTTGTTCGTGGTCTGTTTCGATCTTTCTGCTTCGTTACCTCAATAGCATGCTCTCTGTCTATCGTGCGACGCGCACACAAGAGCAACATGCGTCGCGGAAACGTTCGCACAGGTTTCTAACCTGACCTACGCGTTGCACGGCCAGGGGCGAGAGATCCCGATGCAATGTCATCCTGTTAAGGAATTCGCGTTTCCTTTGAACATCCATGGATACGTTCCGGCCGTGAGAGGTCAAAATACCGATCGTAAGAAATATTATTTTATAGCTCGCGATATTAAAAAAAATATATATATATATATATATATTTATTTATCTTGTCTCGATTTTCACGAAGAAAAAGGTTAAAAATAAATATTTTTACGTACGTTTTTTCGTCGATTGGACGAAGTCACTTGTTAGAGCTGCGCGACACATTCGTTAATACGATGCGAAGATTCATAATTGTTGAACCTTGGGGTCCGAAACGGGAATCACTTATCGTTGATGTCACGCGGCACAAATTTGATTCGAACTCTAACGGCTCTGTCTCGACACACTTGGCACAACTTGGAAACTTTCTACGAAAACACGCGCGAAAAAAAATTCGATGTTTTGATCAGTTATTCGCGGATCTGTGACCACGGGTCCGAACGCGATCGCGGATCGAAAGGCGACATTCGATTACACTCGATCTCGCGTGTAAAAATTGACGAATACGAATTGAAGATAATGTGGTCGAAAAGATTTCCAACGATATCAATGAATTTCACAATGAGGAGGTGCGCAGAAAAAAAAAATTAGAGATAACAATACACGGTTTCCGCCGAGTCAGCGGTAAGATACGCTACAAAACATAGTGTTCAAGTTAAAATAGTCGACTATAGTCTCTTGAGGTCCGAAGAAGCTCAGTTGCCTTCGTCGCGCGCAGAGATGCGCGAGACCGCTGTTTCTCCCTCCCTTTCCCACTCTGTCTCTTTCGTGTTATCCGTCTTACTCTTCCTCTTTCTCTCTCCGTTTTCTCTTCGTCTTTTTCGCCGAGCGCGATTTCTCTCTTTCTCTTTCTTTTTCTCTTTCTCTTTTTCTCGCTCGCTCGCTCGCTCGCGCCGCTACTCCTGTACCCTTTTGTCCGGAAAGAAAAAATTTAAATCGAGAGAAGTCATATCCCCGATTGTGGTTACGTATGAACGCAAAATCAGAATAACAAGAAATTTAACCGTGCTATTTTGAATTTTATTCGACTCGTATTCCTTTTGATCGCACGACCAATCGCACGAGATAAATATTCGAGTGAACTTTTGCGGAAAAACAATTCGTCGAACGCGATAACAAAGGTCAGCGTTCGTTACGAGACCATCGAACAATTCTCACACTCACTAGCTCGTCGAAATTTAAGTAAATTTGTTTAGGAATAGTTTATGTCCAATACTTCGCGTACTTAATACAGATGCAACACATAAATGTCACGTTAACTTCCCGTCGACGTAAATTTTATTGCGCCACCGATGCAAACTCCGATGCAGAGAGTTCAATACACGAGAAACGATACCAACAATGCTCCCTATTCATTCTCTCGTCTATGTTACGTATTTTTTCCCCTCCTAGCGGTCGCGCCCGAATACGTGAGATCGCTGAAAGGAGAAGCTGCAAGCATGTTTTTCCTAATACACGTATATATTTGCAACGATACACGCACGTTTCTACACCAACTCACATTTTCGACTTCCGTATGTTAAGTGTGTATACGTATACGCATACGCACAACTGTCCCCTTCTCCGCTCCCTATTCTCCCAAACGAATATCGCGTGTATATCACTGGAGTGCGAGCGAGTCGGACAGATATACAGAGGGAAAGAGACAGAGCGAAGAGATAGAGAAAAAGAGAAAGAGAGAAAAAGCGAGAGAGAGAGAACAAATAATGATTGAAAGAGCGAGAGTGAGAGAGAATTAAAACGGAGAAAAACAAAAAGCAAAGATGAGTCTAACTTGCAAGCGACGAAAAAAAAAGAAACGTACGACAGAAACATGGATGGGTGGCGCGGAGGGCGAGCGCGCTCGAAAGGGCGCGAGAAAAGGGCACGTGCGACAACACGACGAAGGGCGGTTCGCGCGCGCAATCCTTTACTTGCCGGTGTGAAAAGTGAAATGACAACACGCACTTCGCGCGTCGTTGACTCTGACAACAGGGTACCCGTACAGGCTGGATACGATACTGTGAACTCGGCACGGTTCGTAGCCGAGCGCTTTTCTCAAGAGGGCGGGAGGCAGAGGAGAGCGAGAGAATTCGAAAGAGCAAGGGAGAACGAGGGAGGACGAGAGAAAGAGAGCGCGCGCGAGGAAGAACGCGAGAGGTCGGTGGTAGGAGTCGGCGGGAGGGGCCGGAATTCTCTCTGTTATAGATTAAAATTTTTTACGGGGAAGATATTGATTGTTGCTTTTTATTAATGTAACATTAAAGTGGCGCCGCAAAAGTGGGGGGAACTCCCGCCGGCGAGTCGATGCCCAATAGTGGGGAGAGGTTGTTTGGAGTAGGGATCGAGGCTGAAGGTAGGGTAGAGTAAACGACATAGAAAGACATGGGGGAAGGGGAAGCGAGGCGCGGGAAGACGCGTGGTGGGGTTACTCCGCGAAGAAGAGAGAGGAGAAGAGAAAAGCAAGAAAAGTAAGAACGGCCGCGCGCATTCTGGAAAACGGGCGGCAGGAGGAAGTAAAAAAGAAAGAGGGAAGAGGATTTCGCGAGGAGGCGAGACAAGACTAGGCACGGAGGAGGTGGATGATCCAGGGCGGAGGTTGGGGGGGGAGGGAGGGGGGCTCGAAGCGGCGGAAATAGTGCCATAAATACGAACATTTTTCGTAGCGTCTTGCAGCCCTGTTTTGACAATCATCCCCTCCACAACTCTCTGTCCCTCCGTCATGCAATTCTCTCTTTCTCCTCCTGCGCGGCCTTCTTCCCCACGAGACTATCTCCCCTCCCCTCATCTCCTCGACAACCGCGCTTTTGGATCTTAAGCACGCGGATACACGTATATATCGCGACGGCGGACAACGGACGCACGTAGATGTGATGGTGGTGGTGGCGGCGGTGGTGGCGGCGGCGGTGGTGGTGGCGGTGGCGGTAGCGACGACGAGGACGACGAAGATGACGAAGAAGACGAAGAAGAAGAAGACGAAGAAGACGACGATGCTTCGTTTTACGCCCCTTTACCTCACCTACCAGTCACCCTTTTCACTCTTCCCTTCTCTCTGCTGCCCCTGCCAGCCACCTATTCTTCTACTCACTTTGACATTTTTCGCGAGTTAAGGCCCGCTCGAACTTCGCGGAAATCCATCTTGCGCTGGCTCGAAGGAGTACTACCACCTTCTCACTCTCTCGTTCGCTCTACCCGCTACTCTTTCTCTCTCCCTCTCTTTCTCCCTCCTCGTCTATCCCAAACTCCACACCCGACACCCGTCTCTCCTACGACGGTTCTTCCTCCTACTACTCCGGCCGCTCCGCTCTTCCTCTTTCGTTTTTCTTTTTTTCTTTTTTTTTTTTTTNTTTTTTTTTTTTTTTTCTTCGATTCTTCTGCCTCTCCTTTTTTCAGGGGGAGCAAACCGAGAGACGCGAACGGCGGATCGATTCTTCGTTTCGAGAGGTCTGCAACGAGGGGGAGGGTGAACGAGAGAAGCACGAAGGAGGGCGGATATATATATATATATATATATATATATATATATATGCGTGGAATTCCATGAGCCTCGATAATTATCGAATCATCGATGCGAATGATCGACGTGTACAACTAATTTTCAGGTCATAAACAAGTATACGATCGACTAATTGTCCGGTCGTTAATCATCGATAGGTAGGTGTGGTGTGCGTGACCACGATTAATCGTCACGAGCTCGTGTAGAGAAACTACTCGCAGTTTCGTATTACACGAATGGCGCGATCTGTATAGGTTGCGTGGCCCATGTAACTCTGCACGCCGGTCTGTAACCTTATACCTCGTGCTTTACTACTACACGTACAATCCTCGTCGATTTTTTTCCACTCGCGGATTAGCCCGTCTTTTACGTCCAAATCCAACAATCCATCTTTTACTTCGCTCCTTCCATTATGATAGTTTTGTATCAGAAATTTTATATCTTTTAAAAAAAATGCTTGGAATATATCTTGAAATAAGACGCGCAACATGCAAATATAAAATTCGTTTTGACTCTGACACAGGTAAGCAAGTCAATTGTAGCTTCGAAACATTGGTGGATCGGTCGTATCCCATTGCCTGCGTGACTTCCGGATGGAAGTATACAGGAAAGAAGCTCCTTTCTTCGGGATTGTATTTCATCGCGGCGAAGCGTTGCCTCGCCTCTGACTTTCGTGCTGTACAGTCAGAAGCCCTACAAGAAATATAGAAGGGAGGCGAAACTACATATAACCATCGATCGATTTAAAGGCTGTTTTCGTTATCAACACAAAAGTTGGAGGATCGTAGTACCTATGTCTTTCCAGTTTTCACTTCCACAGGGGGAGTTACGTAAAGACTATTCTGTCCAATTAAGCAAGCAGACCGTTTCCCTCTTCTTTGGCTTTATTTAGCTTGCTCTTTCATGGGGAACTAATTCGCTAGTGACGCTTTTGCATCGTTATCATAAGCATTAGTTAGATTATCTCATGTACATTAAAAAAAAAAAAAAAAAAAAAAAAAANAGAAAAAAAAGAGATTGCAGAGGCAAACCACAAAGCGTTAAAGTACACTCTACAGAGAGCTTTTGCGGAAAAGAAAAAAAAAAAAAAAAAAAAAAAGAAAAGAATAATGAGTATACGATTAGAGAAAACAAAGAGCTCGACGATCTTTTCGAAACTTCCGATAAAACTCGACGACGTAATACGCGAGGAACCTACCGGTGGCGTTCCGTTTCGTTGGACAGGACGCGCGTTTACCAAACGGCGCGACGTATCTTATCGCGTTACGGAAAGGAATTTTGATTAGGAGGCAGCTCCTTTCTTACGACGGCGACGACGACAACTCTGCAATGCGACTCGATGGATATGACTACGTCGGTTTCGGTGTAGTGTCCCCCTCCGTTCAAAAACCATCAGGAAATAAAACCGTGGAGGTAAAAAAAGTGCACGGCAATCCGTAGGGAGGGAGGGAGGGAGGGATTTATTAAAGCGAAAAAACGATATCAGGCGGCCTTCTGCTTTCTCGTTCATCACAGTCCTCGGCAGCGATATATTTTCTTCTTTCTTTTTTCGAATAACGAGCATCATCGTTATGGCTTTCCCCCTCTCCTCCCCCCCCCGCCTCAGCATCCTACCGCCTTCTCTCCCTCCCCCTCCTCGGCCCCCTCCCGCCGCGCCTTCTTCCCTCGTCTTTCCGCCTTTCCACTCCTCCCACTCCCTTTGTTCGTTCGCAGCGAGTGAACCGAGTCCAGGTTTAATTCTCAAAGCGATAGCAATTTCCAGGCGCAGGAAAAAAGGAATAAAGGGGGAGGGGAGGGGTGGGGTGGGGTGGGGTGGGAGAAAGAGCCACCCCTGTCATACTCGATCGATCCGACCTAAGCAATTAATCTATTTAACCTTTCTATTCTGCCGCGCCGGAAATAAAGGAACGGCGAAGGATTAAATTATTGCATACTTGAAATTCTAAAGGGATCGGGCGGGAAGGAGGGAGGGGGGGGAAACTGAGCCAGCCATCGTTCTCGGAATTGCGAAACGAGGGAAGGGTGGCCTT